AAAACGAGTACATACTGGAGAACATGTCACGGAATCTAAAAAATTATATGCAATTGGACACCATAAGAGTGGACGTGTAAGAAGATTCATAATTGAAGGGGTGGTTGTAATTACCCATACAAGAAGATTTTTTTCATAATTTGACATTACCTCAGGGGTGACCATAAGTAACACATAAATATTAGAAAAATATCGTTTTCATCCCTTAACTTTGCACCGATTGCACATTTGGTCCCCATGTTTACAAAAAACACATTTAGTCCCTCATGTTTCAATAATTTAACATTTATGGCCATTTCCGTCAATTTGCCATTGGTCCGCCAGTCACTGATGTACACACGCTTGATTGCGTTAGTACTAACGAAAAATTGACGAAAAATACTATAAATATTAAATGTTTAAAACATGAGGGACCAAATGTGTTTTTTGTAAACATGGGGACCAAAAGTGAAACCGGTGCAAACTTGAAGGACAAAACTTGTATTTTTTTTTTCTCACAAATATATATATTTATATATTATAAAGTATCAAATCTATTTTTGAAGAACCAAAAACATTTTGTCTTTTCAAATTTATTATTATGTCTTTTCAAAATTTCATCTAAATAATCTTGTAATTTAATATAAAGTTTCAGTTTTTTACTTTTTTTCCCAATAAAAAAATAAAAAAATAAAAACCCAAGCTTTCCCGTATTGGAAGCGATCTCTTTCATCTATGGCAGTAGATTAGCATTAAATCTGCTTTACCCCTCACCTGAAAATTCACCACACCCAACACACACACACACACACACACACACACTACTGAGATTACATAAATGTGTATCTATCGATTCTCTATTTTGCATCCTGTATCTATTGCTCGCACAATTTGGAGGTGGAGATTGTAAATTAAGGAAATCAGAGAGAGAAGAAAAAAAATGAGGGGTTCCGATCTGATCAACGCGGTTCTACCGGACGAATTGATACTGGAGATATTCCGGCACGTTGATTCGAAGCCGAGCCGCGACGCCTGCTCGCTTGTTTGCAAGCGGTGGCTCAGCCTCGAGTGCCTCAGCCGTGACACCATCCGCATCGGCGCCTCCGCCGCCCCGGGCAACCTCGTCAACCTGCTTAGCCGCCGATACCCTAATACGCGATCCATATTTATTGACGAACGCCTCTCTATTTCATTGCCTGTAAAATATGTAGGTGACCTCAATTATTATCTGCACTTTTTTTTTTATTATTGTTTTTAAACCTTATACTGGCTGGATAAGAAAATGGAGGATTTGTGTAGATTGGTTACAATTATTCTGTATTTGATTTTGAAGATAGTTTGTTTGGGTGTGTTGTTTTGCTGATTAGTGAATATGTGATTTTGTGGAAATATTCAAGTTGTTAAATTTACTCCATAAAGGTGATGAATTACTATGTGTTCGATTTCGATATGTACTGTTTTTTTTTTTTTTTTTTTTTCTATTTAAGTAGGATTTTCCTTAATCGAGCTGATCGTATTAATTCTTCTCGTTGTTTTCGTGTAGAATTTGGGATACATTGGTGTACTCAATCGAGCTGATCGTATTAATTCTTCTCATTGTTTTCGTGTAGACTTTGGGATAGACACTATAAGCGTAGCTCCATTTTCGACACCAACTAATTTCTTCTTGTGATGCAGATAAAAAGACGTCGAACTAATCGTGATGGTTCTGATCAAAGTATGCCCGGAGATGATGTGATGGGGACAAACAGCTTGTCGGACGCTGGTTTGGCAGCTGTTGGAGAGAGCTTTTTGAAACTTGAAAATTTGTCTCTTATATGGTGCTCTAGCATTACAGATGCGGGGCTCCGATCTTTTGCGGAGAAATGTAGATCACTTAAGTCTCTGGATTTACAGGTAATTGCCTAAATTTTACTTTTGTTTATATGGTGTAAATCTATCGTGGTTCTCACTTTTCTTTCTCGAACGTATGAAACTGAACAATAGCCTTAGACTTGTTGGTTCTGTGGTGGTGGAACCGTAAAACTTCCTTGTTAGTGTATTCTGTTTGCTCTTCTATCAAGGACTATCACCTGAGTATTTTTTATTTCTTATTCTCGCTTTAAGGGCTGCTACATCGGAGATGGAGGTTTGACTGCTGTAGCAGAATGCTGTAAATTTCTTCAGGATTTGAATTTGCGTTTCTGCGAAGGATTGACGGACGCAGGACTGGTTCCCGTGGCCGTTAGCTGCGGGAGGAATTTGAAATCGCTTGGGGTCGCAGCTTGTGCTAAAATTACCGATCTCTCGTTAGAAGCAGTGGGATCTCACTGCAGATCTCTTGAATCCTTGTCACTAGACTCGGAGATCATCCACAACACAGGCTTGGTTGCCGTGGCCAAAGGATGCTCTATGCTGAAAGTTCTTAAACTTCAGTGCCTAAATGTAACAGACGAGGCTTTGCAAGCTGTTGGCGTTTTCTGTTTATCTTTGGAGACGTTGGCCCTATACAGCTTCCAGAAATTCACAGACAGGTCAGTCTTTTTTCACTCTATTTACGCTAACGCTCTCTGAGTAGAGATGTACGGAATAACCCGTTTATTCTCTATAGTAGTCTCAAATCTATTATTCAAATGTGTACAGGTATGGTCATAGCCCTTATTTTATTGATGTAATTGAATATTAAAGCCTGGAAAAAGATAGTGTAATTGATATCTAAGACCATCTTCTCTCCATTTGCAGGAGTCTGTATGCCATTGGAAAACGATGTAAAAAATTGAAAAATCTTACGTTGAGCGACTGCTACTTTCTAAGTAACAAGGGTTTGGATTCTGTAGCTGTTGGTTGCTCAGAGCTTACTCACATTGAACTAAATGGCTGCCACAATATAGGAACTGACGGACTGAAATCTATCGGAAAAAATTGCGTGTAAGTGTCTGGCCTCTCTTCTTGCGCTTGCTTTCTCATTTATTTCTTGTAAACGTTTTTTTTTCCCTCGTAATCTCACTGATTATGACTGCAGCCAACTGTCGGAGTTAGCCTTGCTGTACTGTCAGCGGATAGAAAACGATGGATTAAGTGAAATTGGTAAAGGATGCAAGTACTTGCAAGCTCTTCACTTGGTGGATTGCTCGGGTATTGGAGATGAATCCATATGTAGTATTGCTAGAGGGTGTAAGAACTTAAGGAAGCTCCATATTCGTCGATGTTATGAGGTACTCTTTGTTATTTTCCCACCTGAAATCAACCATTCTTTGCATGTTATTGGTTTGGTCCTCGATTCTATTCTAACACTCTCGTTTCTAAGTATGGCTTTCATTTGCACCGTTAACAGGTGGGTAATAAAGGAATAATTGCTATTGGTCAAAATTGTAAGTTTCTCACAGATCTCAGCCTACGATTCTGTGACAGGTTAGGAATCCCTCTCGTCCCCTCCTTTTCCGTTTATTTTGAAAAGAATAATTTGCTAAATTTAAAGGTTGTTAGAATCTTAGTTCATGTGCGTAAAGCTTAAATCTGATATTTCTCGGGTGTATGATTACCAGAATCGGGGACGAGGCACTGATTTCAATAGGTCAAGGCTGTTCCTTGCACCATTTGAATGTAAGTGGCTGCCACCAAATTCGGGATGCTGGAATAATAGCTATTGCTAGGGGCTCCCCTCAACTTAGTTATCTCGATGTTAGCGTTCTTCAGGTTTGCCTTTGGACCCTGTCTCTCCGTATCTGTACATGCCTAACAAAAAACGGTATTGCTAAAGAGAATATTCTTTTAACTTGCCCAAAAAATAATACTAAAATACGACGCGATTGGAAAATAATAATCGTAAATTCTTGCACGCTAATTTGAACATGTGTTATGTATATACGACCCTCCGTTTTGCCAACTTGACCCCCAATACATAGTTAGTTTATAAGCTGCAATTATATGCTTTGTTTTTCTACGACACAGAATCTCAGAGACAATGCAATAATGGAGTTGGGCGAAGGCTGCCCGTTACTTAAAGACATAGTTATATCACATTGTCGACAAATAACAGACACGGGTGTTAGCTATCTCGCGAGGAAGTGCGCATTTCTGGAATCTTGCCACATGGTTTATTGCCCCGGAATCACAGAAGTTGGAGTTGCCACCATTGTTACAACATGTACGAGGATCAAGAAGATATTAGTCGAGAAGTGGAAGGTTAGTGCCAGGACAGAGAGACGAGCGGGTTCCATTATCAACTACCTATGCGTTGACCTTTGAAATCGTTTTCCGAGTTTGAAAAAGACACACCGGTCGAAATAAAACGCGACTTTGTATGTTTTGTCTGTATTCTGTTGTCTCAGGTTGTATTTGTAGTGCAGTTGGTAATAAGGTCTGATTGACTGTTGGTTTATTATTGTATGTGTGGGATTCTGGTTTAGATTCTATAGTAATTTTACATGTTTGAATTAATATATATTACAATAAATTTAAATGGACTTAGTAAGAAATAATTACAGTTTTCGTCCCTACGTTATACACATTTTTCAATTTTGGTCCTTAAATTTTTTCTGCCACGAAATTGGTCCTTAGATTATGAGTTTTTTTCTTCACATAATTTGTTTTTAGGTGTTTGCAAAATAAACTTTTGTTTTTGCTTCTCTTAAAATAAGCCGCTTTAAGCTATAATTTTAAAAGCACCTATGTACCTGCTTATTCTAATTTAGTTAATTTTCGAGCTAATTTGCAAACAACCCTAATTTTTAGAAATAAACATTTAATTTCAACTTTAATCACAATCACTAACTTCTGCTTTTAA